AATAAAAATTAATATCCAAATCAAGTCTATCTATGATCCAAAATGCTTATTTTTATCACCAAACAGATACAAAACGCCGAGCAATCATATAAAAATATAGAGTACTTTTCGTGTTATTAAATATGTCATGTAATATTCTGGATAAACATAATCCGATACATTTTCACGCCATTATTGTCCTATATAGGATATTATTATCGATTTTTCAAAATGTTATATTTTCTAGTATATTTGAATATTTAAGTATTTATTTATAAAATTAAAAGTTTAAACAAGTTGTTGATATATTTTAAAATTTCTCTATTTTTTCAACTAAATATTAATTTTTATAATCAAATCAATATAATTTAAAGATAAAAAAACAACAATGGATTAAAAATTTACTTCATAAGTGATGAAGACATTGAAAACGCAATGGAACACAATAAGATCACCATGAATCACATTGTCCTTCTAAATACACCAATGACGAGATTAAGAACAAAGAAGTTACTGATATGTCGGATCTAGGGGTATAAATTTAGCTCACGTTATAAAACCTAGACCTCCAACAACTACCACAAGGATATATATCGGTTGTAGTACCATGTTGGGAAATCAATAAATCTAGTGGTTGTATTTGTCTTAAGGTGAGAGGTTTTAAAACTCATGATATTGTATCCAAAAAAGTCGAGGCGACAATAACCGTCATTACAGAGATTTGGAATAATAGCTTGGAGAATGTCTCTCAATCTTTTGTTTCCAAAACATAAATGGAGAAGGCATTGTTTGTATTCCATTGTTGTTATGTATTTTGCACGAAAATTATTTGATGATAGTATTGTGGGGTCATATTAGATCAATGGAGCCTATGAGGAATTTGAGTTCAATTCATTTTTCTTATCTTGTGCTTTTTTTTATACATCGGCTTTACAGCTTAAGATAAATCAAGAATCAAATCTTTCAAAGTTAAAATATAAAGTAAATGCTCTGAGATAACACACCTTCTTGCCACACTTTAATCTTTCAATGTTAAAAATATCGAAGACGGGAAACGAATAATACGACACCAAAAAATCGTCTAAACGTTCTTTTTTATACATGTTTTACTGTGTTTTCTTTCTTTGATTTGAACTTTATCATCTCTCTGTGCTGTGAATAGTTTATTAGTTGTAGGTTAGAGATTTTCTAAGTAAGAATCTTTGATATTTAATTTTGAATTACACGATATCTCTATTTAATTCGGTTTATTAAGTTATTTTTAATACTTTTGATCTTATTGGTCATTTGATTGAATGATCGTTAGTTTTATAGTTTTTATTATGCACTTTCATTTAGTCTGTCCTAGTACCATGTTGGGAAACCAATAAATCTGGTGGTTGTATTTGACCGAAGGTGAGAGGTCTTAATGATATTGTGACCAAATAAGTCGAGACGATAATAACCGTCATTATAGAGGTCTTGAACAATATCTTGGAGAATGTCTCTCAATCTTTTGTTTCCAAATTAAGTAGAAATGGAGAAGATATTGTTTGTATTCCATTATTGTTATGGATTTTGCACGAAAATTATTTGATGATATTATTGTGGAGTCATGTTAGATCAATGGAGCCTATGAGCAAATTGAGTTCAATTCATTTTTCTTATCTTGTGCTTTTGTTTATGCATCAATTTTATAGATTAAGATAATTTAATAATTGAATCTTTCAAAATTCAAATATAAAGTGAAAAGTTCTGAGGTAACACACCTTCTTGTCACAATTTAATTTTTGAATGTTAAAAAAATCGAAGACGGAAAATGAAGAATATGACACCAAGAAATCGACTAAGCATTCTTTCTTATACATGTTTTACTATGTTCTTTCTTTAATTTGATTTTTATCATCTCTATGTATCGTGAGCAGTGTTATCAATTGCGTATGGCGTTTTATGGCGTCAAGCCGAAAATAGGCCATAGAAATATGGCGGACGCCATAGCGGATTATGACAGATGACATTATAGATAAAAAATATATTAGTATATTTATAAAAATAACATAAGACAATTATTATTATACAAGATTATAACAATTATAATAAATCTTTTCTAGTTTTTTTTATGCAAATTAAATTTATAGCTCACAAGATTTGATTTTCTATAGAATTGATATTTAATTGTTAAACTAAATATGTTTTAATTCTAACGTAACTAAATTACATTTATTATTAATTGAGTAAAATAAATAAAATAAAATTTTCAAAGTTATATAGATAATTTTTTAAATATAGATAAATTTAAAATTATTATAATATAATTTTTTTAATAATATGAATAAAATATAAAATAATTTAAAGTGATAGATAAATAGTACCTGTTTTGATAATCAAATTAATACATTTTTATAAAAATATAAGTTTTCAATTTTTGTTTTTAAACTATATATAAATTTAGTTTTATATAATTTGTAATAATAAAGAGTTAAAATTATTTTGATAAATTAACTAAATTATTAAATTTTATTATTAATTTTATTGATTTTAAAGTAATAATTATTAATAAAATAATATTTAAATATTATGTATCGAAAATAGTATTCTGTTAAAATATCTCTATCCACATGTGTTCTCTGTGTCTCACCCACCAACTTTCTATCTCTCTCCTTTCTTCTTTCTTCTATTTTGGTCTTTTCCTCAGATCTAGGTTTTTTTTCATCGCATACCTCCTTAACAAGAGACACACACTTCACTAACATACCATCAAACTATTTTTTTCACAATGGCCCGCCTTAACGCCATGTCGTCATACCGTCATTGCGGGCGCTATGGCTAAAAGACCATTTTCATTAGGCCATAAGAAAACCATGGTGGAGACTTGAAAACCCGCCACGTCATATCGCACCGCCATGACCGCTATTTAACGACATTTGTTGTGAGTAGTTTATTAGTTGTTAGATTAGAGAATTTCTATGTAAGAATTAATTTTGGATTACACGATATTTCTATTTAATTCAGTTTATTGAGTTATTTTTAATATTTTTGATCTTATTGATCATTTTATTGAATGATTGTTAGTTTTATAGTTTTTATTATGCACTTTTAGTTAGTTTATCGTAGTACCATGTCGGAAAACCAATAAATCTAGTGGTTGTATTTGTCTAAAGGTGAGAAGTTTTAAAACTCATGTTATTCTATCCAAACAAGTCAAGACGATAACAACAGTGATTACAAAGGTCTTCAACAATAGTTTGGAAAATGTATCTTAATCTTTTGTTTCCAAAGCAGAAATGGAGAAGGTATTGTTTGTATTCCATTGTTGTTATAGATTTTGCACGAAAATTATTTTATGATATTATTGTGGATTTGGAGCCTATGAACAATTTAAGTTCAATTCATTTTTTTTATCTTATACTTTTGTTTATGCATTGGTTTTACAGATTAAGATAATTCAAGAATTAAATCGTTCAAATATAAAGTGAAAAGCTCTAAGGTAATACACCTTTTTAGACAATTTAATCTTTGAATGTTAAAAATATCGAAGAAGGGAAACGAAAAATACGACCCCAAGAAATCGACTAAGCGTTTTTAATCTTTGTGAGTAGTCTACCAGTTATAGATTAGAGATTTTCTATGTAAGATGCTTAATTTTGGATTACACGATATCTCTATTTAATTCGGTTTATTGAGTTATTTTTAATACTTTTGATCTTACTGGTCATTGGATTGACTGATTATTAGTTTTATAATTTTTATTATGTATTTTTGCTTAGTCATTCTACCATCATCATTTATCTCTAAACCGAGTTCCGAATAGAAACTGTAGTTCGATTGTTTACTTTTTTACTGTGTTTATCCCTAGTTATTGCACATAAATCGTATACTTGCGATATTTACGTCTAGATTAAAATTAAAAATAGATTAGATCGACATTAGGGATACAAAAAAGAGAGGTTACTACAATCTTTTGTGATAATATATTGGTTCTTACTACTACCAACAACATAGGACAAAATATATCAATATCAACTAGTTATCTTGCCAAACAATAGAAAACAATAGTATTATTTTCTTACTTTATTCATATTATCATTATAAAATTATCTAAATGTTATTTTTATTTTGGAGTCCAAATGTTTCAAAAATAAATATGTGATGAATAATTGTGAAATGTGTATTAGACTTTTATTTATATTGTAATGTTGAATATAATAGGTATAAGAAATGTATAGTACAAAAGAAATGATTTAGTTAGAGTTGGTATAAATAAATTATTTTGTAAAACATTTGTTTCATACACCAATTCTAAACAATTTTAAACGAATTTTTTTTTTCCCTTCTTTCACTTTTTTATGATAAGAGAATCCATAATTACTAGGTGGGATCTATCGATATGCCGGTTATATATACTTTTTATTATCTTATTATAATATTTATTGATATAAATTTAATTAAAAAATAATATAAATTATTCATTCAATGAAAAAATATAGTTTACTAGTTTATTTTATAATATGAAATTATACTTTCCACGTATATTGATGTTTTATTATAAATTCTTCATAATTATAATTTCTAATTTATCTATTATTATTTTATAAATAAATAAATCTTGATTAACAATACATACTACTAAAAATTATTATATTTTATTAATTTTTTCTTATCATCTCATTTTAGATTAATCATTTTTATCATAATTTTTTATAATTATATTTTCTACTTTATCTATTACTATTTTATAAATAAATAAATCTAATTTAAAATAATAATAAACTTTAAAAATAATTATATGTTATTAAATTTTTCGTCTCATTTCATTTTGAATGATTCGTTTTTCGATTATAACGATTTTAAAAGTTCGTCGTATAATTCTATTACAATTTTTTATAACCAATCAAAAATTAAAAAAACATCCATGTAAGATTCATTGCCATTTCGGCAAGTATACACTTTTGAATTTGGCCAAATAGTTTTAGAGTCTAGCATTAGTCTAATATATATATAGAGAGAGAGAGGAAATTAGAAAACCAGGCAAATCAAGACCAGATAAAAACAGGATCATAAGAAACCACATGAAAACCCCACCGTGAAGCCACCCAAATTCCAGAAATATCAAACTTCAAAATGATACAGGGAAGAAAATAATAATCTTTAATCCATCAAGATGATATATGTATAAAACTTACCTGCAATGCATCTTCAAGAAGACAACAAAGCTTCGAGCTTTGCGATCTGTTCTTCCTCGTTCCGCTTAGGAGGACTCTTGTTAGCCTCGTCGAAAAGATCATGCTCCCACTTCTTCTCTTCTCTCCACTGCCCGTTTCCCCGAAACCCTCCTCCTCCTCTCCCATCGTTGAATCTTTCTCTGTTGTTTCCCGCATAGCTCGGCCTGTTCCATGTCCTGTCTCTTCCCCCTCCCATGGGCGGTCTCCATGGTCGCCTCTCGTTCCTCCTTTCAGTCCGTATATCGCCCCGATCATGCTGATTTTCTTTTCCATGTTCAATTTCTTCCGTTCTATTTGTATTTCCGGATTCCTCTCGGGTCTTCTTCTCTCTGAACGCAGGTCGTTTTCTCGCGGGTTGGGATTGGTTATCTTCTTCCTTCTCTTGGAACTTGTCGTGTCTCCACATGCTCTCCTCTCTATCTCTACGTTGTCGTGATCGCTCCTCATCTAAAGGCCTTCGTTGCATCTGATCTCTGCCGCTTCTCCACCATCCTCTCTCTTCAAAAAAAAAACACAGAAGAATTATGCATATATATCTCCATATAATCATCATGCCAAGTTTAAAAACGAATGGAAAGAAAAGACCGAGATGCTTTGGGGGAAAGAATTACCTGCAGGTGCTCTCCTGTCGCCTTTTCCAGAACCACCACGTTCATCATGCTGTTACAAGACATTCACAGGCAAGCCTAAGATTACATAGAAGCAGAGCATTGGAAGGCATGAGACTGTATACACGAATTCCATTACATTAGCCTAGAAAGGGTTCACATTCACTCAGTGAATAACAATAAACCGAACTTCAAATTAAGCTATAAAATATTATAATAAAAAAGAATATTCCAGATATATTCAAAATTCAAGGGAATATGCACTTCGGCAGAACATGTGGATAGATGAATGAACTAATAGCAAAGCTGCAAACCAGAGAAGCAGCATTACCGGTTGGGTTTATTACCATTGCCCAACCCGCAGAAATCAAAACCCGAACCAGAAACAGTGTTATCAAATGGCCGCCATGGCGTTATGACGTGGACTGTTTTCAAGATTCCGCCATGGTGGGTTATGGCGGATGACATGACAGGAAAGGAAAGAACACCGGAATAGCGACAAAGAGTGGATCATAGGATGGAGTATAATGCACATATGAATATTATACAGCTTCTGTAACCTGATAATGTGGTCGAGCTCGAGGCGCTTCTGACCGATTGGGAGAGCGTTTGGTCATTTCTTGATGCCCATTGTGTTTTTTCTCGGCATCTTTGCTCAAAGCATGAGCGTCAGATTCGAGAGGTGCGGCATCTCGAAGGTGCCTATGCGGTTTCTTCTCTGCATCAGTAACATCTGTCACATCCAAATCGTTCTTACTCAGGACTCGTTCCGCTTCGGGTTTTCCATCCCTCCTAGACCTCTTAGGGCTGAACACAAACAAGTAAAACACTGCAGATATTATAATTGAAAGCATTGAGAAAGGAATTGAATGGTTACTATTCAAACTCAAAGCAAACTCATCGAAACTTAAAACGAAGGGGTCATGGATTGGCTAACGCTTACTCGAGAGCTGAATAGAGAACAGAAAATGAAACGAACAATTACTGTCACGGTTTGGGTTCGGATTTTCGGTTATAAAAACATCATGACCATTAGGTTTATATATCGAATTCGGATTGCTTACGGTTATGTGTTCATTTTCCACAACACATCACAACATTGTGTGACTAGATTTCTTGACAGGAGCCACATAGAATGCATCACTAAGCACTTGCTCTTCTTTGGATTGAGCTTTCTAGGGTTCATACTTCATTTCCATTCTCAGCCTTAGTCATTTCACCATCCTCTCCAAAATCACCCAACTTTACAAACGGAACGCAAACCAATCAAACGCATAGATTCCCAGTAGCTCTATGAGGTGAAATTTTGAATCAAATTCCTCAAAAATCATAGTGAGGTACATCAATCCTCGATCATCCAACAAGCCGAACACAAAAAGCACACCAGTTTCCACTACAATGCGCCTGCATTTCTATTTCTTAACCAAAATACACGAAAATTCATCGTACCCACTACGAATTTACTTAGTTTATCGTCAAATTTAAGTTAAATGGACCCAGAATGAGGAGGAAGAACATCAAATAAAAAAACTCCCAACTGAAGAAAATCACTGGAATTTCTCGTAACCCGAAGGTCATAGAACAGAAAAGCAGACCTGGGTTCACGATCGACTCTGGAGCTTTGGCGTTTCGTGTCGGAATCCCTGCCCTCTCTTCGTGACATCTTGTTTTTCCCCTTCTCTCGGGATAATCAGGAAGTTTTAGGGCTTAGTACTTGTAACTTTCTCCCTCCACTTTTTATCAAATTTCGCCGTGGGATGTCATTTTCAAGGAAATTACAGATAACGTCTTATATTTCTTAAACTATTTGTAAAGCCCAAACTTTTAATAAGCACAAAGTTCAATAATAATCATTTTGGATTTGTTTTTTATTTTTTTATCAAATAATTTTAGATTTAACCATCAAAATTATAAATTTATCAATTAAATTCATTATATAAAACGATTTTCTCATTTTTTTACTCTATACATATACATATATTTTAAAAAATTATTATCGAATTATGTTTTCACATTAATCGTTTTTCTTCGATCATAGTTCTTTATTTCTTCAAAAATAGTGGAAGAAAATAGCTCCAGCTAAGGTTTGGTTTGTGAATCTAGTCTCGAATCGTATAGAACTTATTGATTTTTTTTTGTTTGATTTTGTTTTATGTGAAATAATTTTAATAATTAAATCTATTCTTATTTATATGGAGATATGTGACTTTAAGCTATTACACTTATCGCTATTAACTAAAGGCTAAAACTAACCCAAAAGGAAAGGATCCAAATAAATAATATGATACATTATTAATTGGAGACCGAAATCGAATATGATAGATTCATAATCTCAAATAAGTTTAA